GTGCATGCCCTGGACTGGAATCGAACCCGGTACCCTTTGGTCTGCAGGCTGATGCTCTATCCACTGAGCCAAACTAGCCAGGGCTGCAAAGGTTCTTTTAGCAGGGGGTAGGTTTCACTGGCCAGGGATCACAACCACCCCCACGCTCCACCCCCGTGATGGAGAGAGACCCATGGACCGACCACGGCACCCCTTCTCCACAGGACCTACTTCCCGTTCTCCTGCTCTGGGCTGAACAAGCTGACAGCCATGGTTACTAAATGGTGAGGTGGGCGAGACGGCTGGGTGGAGTGTCCCCAAACAGACCTGCCTCCGCCCTTCTCCTCAGTCCCCCTCATCCTGACCTTGGCCACCCCCTCCCCACAGGCTCATCATGAGGAAAAGTCTGATCCAACACCTGGAGCAGCGAGGAGTGCAGGTGAGGCTTCGCTACCTCCGTTCCCGGCGGGGGCTGGCACCGCGTTCCCGCCACAGCTCTGCTGCTGCCCGGCTGGCGGCTTGGGCAGGTCACCTTCAGGGCCTGGTTTCTTCACTGTAAATGGGGACAATGACAGAGTTAGCTCTTCTGGGTATGTCACTGGTGCTTAGCAAGGGCCTGATAAGTGCTAGCCATTCTGGTGATGTACTGAACTGTCCTGACCCCTGGTGAGGGGCTGCCCACCTCCTCCCGCTCCCAAGCTTCAGCTTTGACCAGGTCATTTAATTAGCAAACCTTGGGTGAGCATATATTCCGGCACTACGGGCACTACGGTACTGAGTAGGGAGTTTACCGGGGCAGAGGAGGGGAAGGAAACAGGCCATCACCAGCACAGGGGCAGCTCGTGGACAGGAAAGGCAAGTGCGGTGGCCTGTGGGGTCAGAGAAGGCCTCTGGGAGAAATGAGGCGCTGGCTCCAGGGGCGGACAAGCACTCAGGCGGGAGGCTCCTGTGGGGGGGCCCAGAGGAGCTAGAGGCTGGCAGTCTGAGAAGCAGAGAGGGCTCCCGCTGCGGCAGCCTGGAGGAGGCAGCACCAGGGGGGCTGGAGAAGGCAGCCGAGGGCCTCCGTAAGGAGCCTGGGCTTCTGCCCAAAGGAAGGGGAAGCTTTTGAGGGAAGAGCCGTGACCCAGTTGAGATCTGCTGAGTGAGGGTCGTCCGTGTGGCGAAGTGACTGTGGGAGCCACGGTGGAAGCAGAGTCTCATGAGGAGGCCGATGCTGCCACGGACAGGATTGGGGCTCCGGTGGTAACAGGGCAGGGGGATGGATGGGAGAGCTTACTCACAGACCAGCCACTGATTGGACGAGGGTAAGTGAGGATGAGCCCTCCCACTCCTGGGGGCTTCACCTCAACTCTAGGAGGCTGGACCTGAACGCTCAGCTGTAACATTGGGAAACCCAGAGGCCCACTGGCCTGCGCAGGGCACAGATCCCGGTCCCACCTCTGTCGGTGCCCACAGGAGAGGACTCAGGAGTCAGGGCAGGGAGAGCAGCGGCAGGTGCTGGCAGGCAGGCGGCGCTGGCCCCGCTGGCAAACAGTCCACCACCGGCTTTCCGTGGCGTATATACTGCCTCGGCCGATTTCAGGCTACCAGTGTGAAGTCACTGGACGGAGCTGGGAAGAGATGCGAGGTAGCACATCCTTGCAGAGTATTTCCACCGGACACATCCGACAGACATAAATAATCTCCAGGGCATAGTGACAGTAAAATGGAAGTACGAGGAAGTGATGAGTTTTTAGATTTTATTGCCTTTGTTTTTAATACGGTTTACAGAATTGCAAGTTTATGCAATTTAATATTTAATAATGGGTGCGTCCAAAACCAATTTGAAAAATTTCTGAAAACTGAACAACCAGCTTCCCCAGCATTCCGCTGCAGGGAGGCCTCCACAGAGAGAGCTCTGACCAGCTGGGTGCAATGGGGAGTCCCAGGTCAAGCTGCTTGGAAACGATGCCTCTCTCCCCGCTCAGGTGGTATTTTGGTGCCTTAATGAAGAGTCGGATTTTGAAGTGGCCTACAGTCTGGGGGCCACTGGCGTCATGACTGATTACCCCACAGCCCTGCGGCGCTACCTGGACAACCACAGAGCAGCGGCCCCCGTCTCCTAAGCCTGAGGCCCTTGCCCTCAACATGTTTCTCTTTCCTAATAAATATTTTATTTTTAGTCAAGCCTTTTTGCATTCTTTTTAGGGGGTAGAGGGTGTCCGGGTGTCAGAGATGCTAGAAAACTCTAAAGATGGCAGCCTAAGGCCAGAGTCTGGGCCCCCCCCCCTCCAACCCCCCCCTCTGGAACTAGCCTGACCCACTGGTTCAACCACATTCCAGACCCAGAGTAATGCCACACCCTGTGCCAGCCTGGCCTCCACTCTCCTCAGGAATGTCCCTTCAGAGCCACAGATAATGGGTCCATTCTCCTGAGGCCACTAAGAGCGCCAGGCCCACAGCACGGGCCTTGGCTGACCCCTGAGCCTCCTCACCTGGCTGCACAGGTGGGCATGGCGGCGGCGGGGCCTCAGCACCACCCGCTGCCTCCCACGCCCAGGCTCCCTGCTCCAGAAGCTCCCAGCTCCCCGGCCCTCTCCAGCCGGTCGGTCTGTCACTCATTTACGAAACCGGCTTTTACAAGCTTATGGACGACTCTAGGCCCGGGCGGGCCCCGGGGCCGTGCAGGGAACACGACAAGGTTAGCATGGCCCACGTGTGTCGACACTCAGGTGAGAGCGGGCAGGGGAGCCCACAGCGGACCCCAACTCCGCCTGCAGGACGGGCATCGGAGGAGCTGCCTCCTGGAGGAGGTGGTGCTCAGCCGGGCTCGCTTGTCCCCAGGGGCTGTCCCGGGTCGAACCGACCAAACCCTTAGCTCCTGCATTCCGTGGCTGTCCCTGGTGCAACGGCCCGGACCGCGGGCTGGACCACAGCGAGAAGCCACCTCTGCCTCCTGCAGGCGGACACCTCGGCAGTACGCGAACAGCAGCAGAAGCTGCAGCGGGGATGGAGGGTGGGCCCGGGCGGTGGGCAACGCAGACCGTATGACTATTTTGTCCCCGGGGGCGTGCATCCAGACACCGTGCCCCTCCGAACCCCGCGCAGGTCAGGTACCTCAGACACGTGCCCCTTCAAGAACCGCGGGAGGCCCGAGGGGCGGCCGGGCCGG